CGGCCCCCCGCCAAAGTATCGGGAGTTGTTTTTCCCCCAATTTGAGAGCCTTTCTGGAATCTTCCTTCTTAGGGATTGAATGCGAAACGATGAAAAAGAAGCCCCAGCGCACCGATCCACCTTTATTTTCCATTTGCTTTGGTGGCCTCCCTGTCGTGAACGACCCAACGAAAGGGCCCTTTTCCCAGACACAAAGCAGAGAGGTGAACTGTCAAGTCAGTGTTTTGCTGACATGAGAAAATAGTTTGTTTGCTGAAATGGGGCGCGTGGACCAGCCCAGCTGATGAGGAAATGTGGGGGAACGCCCCCTTTTTAGAAGAATGAGCGCTTGCGGTGCTGGATCGATGTTTTCAGTTTATCCAGTCGCGCGGTAGTGCTAGTCTGCTTCGCCTTCTACAGACGCGGAAAGGGAAAGAAACGGGAAGGCCTCTAAGAGAGACGGAAGTGAAGATGCGATCGTGTTGCAAGTCTTGAATTTGCTGGCCATTTTGTTCGCGCAACTGTCCCCAGAGATCTACACTCTTGGCTTGCGGAAGACAGTGGCTTTCGTATCCAACGCATTCTACACTTCGTATTTTGGAGGAAAGGTAGTCTCAATGCTGATCTTCAATTGCATGCAAGGAAATCCATCCGACGCGATTTCACAGTTCATGGCGCTCGTGCTGGATAAATTTCACGTGACGAAGTCTGGAATTGATGTTTCTAGCTTGATGGCGAACGAAAAAGTGTGGCACTTGCGAATTCTCAGTGGACTAGTGCGCTTCAGCCACCCCGATGACCGCATCTTACTTCGCTACCAACATGAATTGGAAGTGATTCTGGCACATTTTCTGAGCAACGACGATGACAAGGAAGTTTATGAGGCTGCCGGTACTGTTCTGCGCTACTTGCTCTTTGGTCTTCTTGGCGTGTATACGCATGACTTTCGCTCATTACCAGCTGCAGAATGGGCAGATGCAACCTCTAACGAAAGTGGAGCGTTCCAGTATTTGGGCGCTAGTATTTCGTGGAACAAGCTTTCGGTAAGGTGGCATGAACCAAACGAAGCTGAACTTTTATTCGGATTCAAATTGCTACAAGCACACGTTGTTGGTGCTATTGACAAGTTAGATCGTTTAAGGGACGCGAGGGCTCTCACTGTTCGTTCGTGGACGCGCCTCCTGGAACAAATATTCCAAGGACTTCGAGGTGCTTCAAATGTGCTGACAGACGAACTCGTGCAAGCGAATGGTGCGCTTTTGGATGGTGCTCACTCGTTGCTGCTCAAGGCACTGGGCAATAATCTCGAGCTTTACAAGAACTTCGTGTCTCTGAAAGGGTCGCTGATGAATCGGGTGCACAGTGCTATGGTATTTTGGAGAGAGGAGGGAAGCGGGAGCGCAATGGAGAACCAGGTGTGGGATCTGCTCTTGGATATCGCGCACCAGCTTCTTATTTGGAGAGGGGAGCATCTGGACGAGTTCAAGATGAAAGAAGCTCAAAACATGTATTCCAGAATGACGAGCTTGGACGTTGCGTCGCATGCCTACCGGAAAAGTCGACGTATAGCTAAGGGGGAGCAAGTGCCGCTCTTATCCCGCAATGAGCTGGTGGAGAAAGTGATGTTTTTCTATGCTAAACGGAAAGTGCAGCAACACTTTGCACTCGCCAATGTAATTATGCAGCTGGAAAGTGACGAGGACACGCGCCAACATTACGAATCGCTTTTGACGGAGGTTGAGTTGCTTCTGAGAAACCCTTACCAAGATGTTCGATCCAATGCCGCCGCAGTAATGAAGGAGTGCTCTCTGCTGTACACTAGATGGATATATTTTTGCCAGTCGAGACAGATTGAAGAATTGGACGGACTCCGTGATGTACCGCAACTGACGGAAGAGCACGTCTCTGGTGTACTCCACATGCTTTCACTGCCGCTTGCCCGAAGAAATCTGTGGAAGCGACGCAACGTCCTACTTAAGCGCGTGCTTGTGGTGCTCTTGAAGAGTAACAGTGCGATTGTGAAGCATGTTGACGGCGAGGTTAGCAAGGCGAAGATCGAGGTGAAGTTGCAAACTTTTTTCTTGTCGCTGTTGTCGAACTGGCGATATGTTCACTCCCAGGAAGCGGGGTCTCCCATTATTGAAGCCCTTTTGACTGCGGAGCCCTCTCCTGCCGAGCATTGGAAGGTCCAGTTGATGCATTTGGTGACTATTTATCCATTCTTGCAACCGAGGACTGCGATTTCAGTGGATGTGTGGAAGCTCGTGGTTCGGCAATTGAGTAATGAAGTGCTACCGGTGCGACAGGTTGCCTTGGAGATCTTCGGGCACCTTCTGAAGGTGCTAAAGCGCGATCGCAAGGAAGACGGAGCTAATTGTGTGGAACTTATTCACGAGCTAATCTACTCTGACAGTACGATGCGTGCTCTTCTGGATGCCTTTGTGAAAAACCACAAGTACTCAAACAAATTTGCGGCATCTGCAGATGGACAACATGCGAATTCAGCCCCAAGCGATTGGTCATTTGGTGTAAACGAAGTTGTCCGGTACATTTCGGGCAGCTCCCAGTCTTTTCCGAAAGCTCCACCTCTGTCATCTGTTCGCCTGCTCAACCGATCAAGTCACTCGATTACAAACTTGAGCTTATCTAGTGTCAAGTTGGTACAAAAGCTCGTGGAGGAAAACCCGAAGGCATTGTTTGGAAGCTGTATGATGACAATTTTGAAAGGCTTGGCCAGCAAGAATATTGGTGCCGACAGTGCTGAAGAGGACCGTCAGGCAGCGCTGAAAACGTTGGCGGACTGTACTTCAGGCTTGCTCCATTCTTTGGCAAAGCTGGACGATGCGGACGACAAGATCATCACGAACCATATCGCAGATGTTGTCCATGTACTCAAGGTCATCCTTCCCCAAGTGAGTATGGTGTTAGTGAACCAATGGGTAGAGGTAGTATATCTCGCCACTCGTCCGTCTAGATCGGGTACCGTGAAGATGCTCCGATTGGAGCCACTCGTGAATTACTTACTTTTTGAGCTGGAAGATTCGCTCGCTCGAGCGACAGTTGAAGATTACGCTCGTCAAGCAAAATGGCTAGCACTAGTGGAAGCTGTTGGTGTTCATTTGCTGGCGGCTGGAGTATCAATGGCCGACCGGGCAGTCCACACACTGGCTTGTGAGTTTGGTGAACGGGTACTCAAGGTGATCCGTGAGCACGCCTTAGCCCATCAATACAAGATAATCCGAGACCGTGCAGGAAAGATGCTGTTTCTATTGGGCGCTTACGCCAATTCCACGTCTTCATGGGTCAAGTCCCCCCCCTGTTGTCCAGTCCGCGTTGCCACTGGGTCAACTTGTGGCTGCTAGTGGTTCGACCGAAATCGACACCGTCAACGTGGACAACGAATCTACAAAGAGCAACCCCGAGAATGATACCAATTTGCATGCGAAGGAAACCGCAATGCAGTGGCTATCGTGCTGCGAAAAGTATGGCAATGGACGCGATATGCTTGCTGTGCTTAACGAGTTACTCCCAGTTGCTCTATTGACGCAATCGCACCCGAAGGCAGAAGTAGCCGTTCAAGCGAAGAACGTCACGGAAGCCGTATCCCTGTCGCTACGAATGTACTTCGTGCTACAAGATACGACCGGCGAAAATGCGTTGACGCAGTTGCTGGAGCTGCTGACGGGTTTAGCTACCTCTCAAACATGGAAGACGCGCGGTGCAGTACTGCGTTTCACAATGACGTTCGCCTTCTATCACTGGGTTTTCTTCACTAGCGACTTGAAGGAGCAGGTGCATACTTTTATCTGCTCATTCTTGACGGACACTGGTAAGGGATTTAGCAGATGAAAGACATAGAAGGTAGAAACCCAGGCAGGTATAGGCTTAAATATCAATACAGACTCCAATTTGCACAGTGACACGCAAGTGCCTTCCTGCCCTCAAGAACCGGAACTACATTGGCCGTACGAGCTCCGAGAAGGTTGGGAATTGCGAACTAGTGTTGGTAGTGATAACTGGATAATACATTGACCAGATCCTACAACCTAGTAAGCTTTTCCTTTACTTGTGCAGATCCGACAGGTTAACCGAATTTACTACTTGGTCGGTTACACCCTAGGGGTTCTCAACTTTCAAGATCCCGTCACAGGAGGCGGCAAGTACGACTTAAAGGACAACACAAAGGCAAGGGAACACACCCGCAAGGCAACCCTACGGCCAGATCCACGATCTAGGCCCCGGATCCATAAGCTCGAATATTCGCTTAGGATACGGAACCATCCACGGACGCAGAGTGAAGATTTTCCACTGCTGCTCCACCCCATCCCCACGTCTCGCCAAGACACTCAAGCTTCACCACTTGAACTCTTCGGAAGTTACCGAGAGAGCAAGATCCCGCCCTACCGACGGGTACACAAGGTGAGGAAAGTTCAGCAGAACACGGATCATCGGGGGACCCCCTCCGTTAGTCGGTGTCTGGGCGCAGTTGGTAAGTTGGATCTGGCAATCTCGCAGATTTTGCTGATCCCGCTACACCACAATGGTGCGCGTGCCCGGATCTTTTGGTGATTCGGGATTTCACCGTGAGTCCCAAGAAGATGCTCAAGTGAAGATTGAGCCAGGGGAAGAGGCGTCGTCGGAGGTCGGATCGACGAAGACGCTGCTGAATGAAACAAGATCCGCGGATCGATGGAGTTTTGGGAGGAACTCTGTCGACGGAAGAGAGGTAGATCCGGATCCGGATCTAGAAGAGAAACCTG